CGGAAAATTCCGAAGAAATGATGATATGAATAAATAATTAGCTATGAGATCGACCACGCCTAATGCATTCAAGAAAAGGAGTCGAGAATGTTCGTTGATTTGTTCGCCTTTCTCGCCAGATCGTTGTTGTACTAACCAATGCGTTTTCCGTTTGTTTTCGCTTGTCATTTGCCGTTCACGGCACTTCTTTGCTCTTACTTCAAGGCACCCTCATTCTGTCAATGATAAGCTGAACTAAACATCTAAGCTGAACCCATGAAACTAGTTATAGAGATTGTACTTATGTACTTATAATACCCGAACATGAGAACCACTGACCTAGCAAAGGATTATTCTTTGCTACTTTACTGAGCAATTTGCTCTAATCTTTAAGAGATGATCAGAAATTGTTCATAGTTCATTGTTCATGGAAGACTTCTTGTCCTCATCATTTGTTTGTGTTACTTGACGAATGTTTTCATTGATATTGTTGTAGCTGTTGATTGAGATGATTACGAAAGGATTAGATGCATGATTTTGTTATGAATGCTGCGCTCGTCGAATGGATGGATCTTCTTTGATCATTTTATAGCCATCAGCATAATTTCAACATTTTGTATCATTTCTTTAGAAGTTGTTTTGCGACTGTTTGTAGCTGGAACATTGCAGAGTGCGTGTTTGAGTTGATGACGGTACTTGTTGAAATGCAATGATCCAATTCAGTATTTAGCATTTCCTGTGACAAAATGCTATTGAGCATTTATGGGTTTAGCATTTATTTCTAGCATTCATGCTTGTTTTTGTTTTACACTTAGTGTTTTCTGCGGTAATTTGACATCGTTGTTGAAATCTCGAATGCCTTTGAAAAACATCCATAAATGTCTTTTTATTGGCACTATCAATTTTTCATTGACATTTCAATTTCACATTACTGTTAACATCGATTGTTTTATGCTTCTACGACTGAGAATGATTATTAGCAGTTTAGAAACAAAAAGGATAAATTCTATCGTAAAAAGGCAAGAAAGCGATTTTAATGGTAGACAATGTTTTTTCACTGGAGTTATCGTCTGACACCACAATAGATCTACAATCGCGATGAGCAGTTCAGTGCCACTCCATGTGACTGTAAGGTGAATTCGAGACGAATGAATCTTTATTCAGATATTCAATTCGAACTTCATTTTATCATATGATCGTCTGTATGTGAAGAAAAGCGTTGAATATGATCATTTTTAAAAGTTACATGAAGTGCAAAGAAAAATTTATCCGATTGAAGTGAACAGAAAAGACTCTGGAACATCTGTTCCTTTGGGATTTCATTCATGTTCGATTAGTCAAGAGTAACACTTAGGAAACTGCACATATTGAATTATTTTGCCTAGAAATATTCATGCGAAGTTATTGGTCTCACATTCAATTCTGCAAAAAATGGAGCATTCCGGTAAAGCTTCCAAATTTCTTCGAATTATCAAATGTCGCACGAGCAGATCAAAGGAATATTTCTCCACCTGTCTTCACCTGGTTCATTCATATCTTTTGAACCATGATCATTTCAGCATCATCGAAAATTTGCGTGAGTTCCTAGTCAGTGAATGTTATTTTTCCGAACTTTTTGCGCAAAAATTTGGAATGCCTGAAGGAGTTTCGATATCTTTTGTTGCACTAAGGGCCTACTTAATATGCTCGAGATATAGTTAAACTTCGTATCCAGGCAATTCAATTTAATTTCGGCTCGAACGGAAATGAGCACTGCAATTTCCTGTTTTTCGTGAAATCATCTAGTTATAAGTGGTTTCTTTTCAAGCGTCACGTTAAGAAGCTGTGAGGAGATTCAGTGTCCATATGAAGTTTTCTGAGACATCATCCTTTCGAATGCTTGCTACAGGAATATCTACTCATATTTAAAGTAAGTATCGCACGATACTGGAAAATTGCTAAAATGAACTGAAAAAAACTGAAAAAGAAAAAAATGATAGGATGCAACATCCATGTTTCATTTAGCTTTTTTTTAAAACGTTTGATCGCATTTTTCGGTCACATTATTGCACAAAACAACTGAATTCTCATCGTTCTCTTAATCCTTCAAATTTAAAAGATGTGATTTTCAGATATGAATTCTCATATGAAGATGACTATCATACTGAAAGAAGAAGTGAATCCAATGAAACTCATTCGATAAGCATTTGTAAACACTAACGCCATGAGCCAACTACGACGAGTCTCAGTTTCATCCCTATCACACTATCTGTGATTCGGATTTTATTTTCGCCATTATGTCGTTGACTCATTTTTCAATTCTTTGTTTTCAGTATAGATTTCACTTTCTTACGTACGCATCGTAACTTTATTCGCTTGAGCATCGTATCCGCAATCGTGAAATTGAAACGAATATTCTACAGCTTAATTAATCCTTCTCATTCGGGTTTGTTTGTAAAATGATATCTGAATTCGCCATTCAACAAACTAAGAACTATTCTTGAATCTCCTCTAATGTGCTCAATTCCATCATAAACAAACGCCGAAATACTACCGAGGTGAAATTTCACTTTTGTAAAAGCATGTACTTTCGTCAAAAATATTTATTCGCATCAGCTTTCATTTGAAGCTTTTAGTTGATTTCGAGGATATGAGTTTATATCTGAAAGATGTTAAGCTATAGAATTGTTGATAATAGAGACCGATTCTCGTGAACTAATCTTGTCAAACTGAATTTTGCCATAATAAACGGGACAGTTGGATGCTACGCTAAGACTGGATTTAATCACGATCACATCGCTTCAGTGAAATTCACATCCATGGTCAGCCTTGTTCAGTCATCAACTCATCGTTCGGGAATGCAAATTCTATCGTATTCTGGTCTTAAAACGGTTATTTATTCACCATTTATTTACGCAGATCTCATTAAAATCGCCATTTATACTCAAGTTTTAATATTATGACGTTCGTGAGATCGTTTCAGCTCTGTTTTGTTGTTCATTACTCATAAACTATATCAAATGCTAGTGATAATGAGTAACCAACTCATTAAGAGCGTTCTTCATTGTGTTATTGCCGGCGACTTATTCGAACGTCATTCTTCTTGTTGATAATTAATAAAGTTGTGATGTGAAACTTAACTGTCGAAAACAGAGATTTCTCTCTGTCTTCGAAAATTCGGGTGATTTGGGTTCGAATGGCTTCCATTATGACCATTACACGCATCGTTGTTTTGCGCTGCATTCATTATGTGTTATCTGCAGAATAGTGCGAGCATTTCTGTGTGAAATGATCGTATATCTTATATCTGCTTTCATTTGGATCTTATTTCTGATCTTATATCTACATGGGGTCGTATATATGCTTTTATTTGTTCATTCGTGGGTCACCGGAGGATTCAAGGATTCTAATGAATCTGTCTATATTCAATAAGGTCGATAGTGTCGGGTGGTACGGAGTATATCCCAGCTTTCATCAAACCAAAATTATTGCCCAGATAATGAGAAATTAGAGGATGGCATTCTTATATTCTGATTTTTTCAATCAGTTTTACCGATAGACTTTCAAGCGGCCGGCTAAGGGTGACATACAGGAAAGTATATCTGTTCACAACTATTAGCATGTTCACTTGAGATTGTTTGGAATATAACAGTGGAGCAACGTCTTTCTCGATTACTACTTATATGCATTGCGTGACACCTGTTGAAGGTTAGATTACAAGGAAATGGAACAGGAAAAATCTCATATTTGCAATTGCAATTGCAATTGACAATTATTTGTAATTGTAATTGACTGTGCGCAATCTGTGAAGTAATTGAAATCCTATCTAAGTTATATCTAGAAGTCGACGATTCCATAGAGTTTCATCGAAATTCAACCCTATGATTTTTAACTTATTCTGCATGAAACATTATTTGTTTATCATCACTAAACTATAATGCCTTATTGTTGTACTCTAATTGTAAGCTGGGTGATTTACTTGAGTCCTTTTTATGTATATTTCAAAATCGCTCTGCTGACATAACTTAGATCTTGAATTCAATTTCTTTTGTTAACTATTTTGATCGTAAATGCCTGCCTATGTATTTGTTTAATCATGTGCAGTCATTAGGTATTCATTTACATGCGCTTCGATTTCATTCGCTTGTAATTCGAACTTCTTATACTGAATTTTTTCTTGATTGTTCTTTTAATCTCATGCAATCGTTTCGGTCAGAAGACACCAATGCACTTTGCGTGACAATTATTTGCTTTGCAGAATACCCAACTCATCGTGATACTTCGTTCAGTATCGATGAAATAAGTGGCACTCTTAGATCAGCAACACATTCGAACAGCTTGAATTCAATTCAGTTCAGTGCAATTCTGCAACACCCATCATATCTTTTGCTTTGTGTTATCTATCTTGGCAGCTGTACCTAATTGACGGCCATTCCGCAAGCATCATATCATAATCACATTCATAATCACTCTCATATTCATAATTGCTCTCATCATTTCTTCTCTACACTCATCTAAATACACATTCAATTTGTATTTTTAGCAAACAAAAGCAAACTGCATTCCTAACAAATAAAACAAAGTGAAGTGAACCGCCTTTTGTAAGACCAAAACTCATTTATTAACAAATATCAAATAAAACAATGTTATTATCAGTAAGTATCCAATATTGTTGAGTATTTCTTATACATCTTTAAGAAAACGTTTATAAATTTATTTCAAAGCAACAACCGCCCGAGTGTCTTACGTTTAAAAGCAATTTTGAATCTGAGTTTGTGAGAATTGCATCTTTCACCAGCAGAATCTTCAGTTATCGTCAAATATATTGGCTATTTTCTGGTGTTATTCTCCGGTCAATTTGATCAGTTTTTCTGTAGATCTGATGAATAATGCTGATCATCATATTACTATCATATTACTCTCAGTAATGTTGGAGTGTCTATGAAGATTGACTGGTTTCAAAGACTTCGTCAAAGAAAATATTCAAATTCCGCCGCTGACATCAGAGATTTGTTGATTCTGAAGTCAAAATATTTGCCGAAATGTCGTCAACACCGCACAGTTTTTCAAACGTCTGTCTGAAAGTAGAACAAATGCGAATGTACGGTAATGAGGCTGAGAAATACCTGCAACGTTATTTGTACCCGTGTGTCACGCTGTTTGGCCTCGCTGGTAATCTACTCAATTTGACTGTACTCCTCAACAGGACTATGCGAAGCAGGTACACCGTAATTTCTTTAATTCACCAATTTATCCTATGAAAGCCCAGAAAGATGCAAGTTTGCGTTATTCCAGAGGGGAAGTCTACTTTAAGCATGGCATCCATCAGGGTTTATTTGAAAGGATGGTTCATTTGAATGGGACTTTGTGTTGAATCTAAGTGATTTCAATTCACCTTCAAAAAAATTACTCAAAGACTATTGAATAGATAATAAGCAACTTGAAAAACTAGTCTTGACCAGTAATGAAAAACGATCGTCATTAACCGATGGTCGTGCTCGTTTCAGATCAAACTGCTTCCTTGCGACACTAGCCGTAGCAGATATCGTTTTTCTTGTTCTGTTAATCCCGAATATTCTCGCCAACTATCCGATCTTCACGAATAATTACTATTATCGTTACTTTTACTTCTATTCAAAGGTTCACCTCCTATCATTGGCTAATTGGTCATCGTGCGTCGCGATGTGGTTCGTTCATAATTACCGTATTCTATTGTTCGAAAGATCCTTCAACAATCCCTTATCGAATTGTATTTATTCATTTGGGAATGTTATAATCATTAGTAATGTTATGATCATTAGTCGTTGCTGATCGATCAGTTAATCAGCTAATATATTCATGACCATTTGGGAATGTTCGTTAAGCTTGAATGACAGTATATGCAATTTATTTGATCTCACTGATGTATAATCACTTAATAAGTGCCAGAAAGCAGTTCAGTATGTAACAAAAAACAGTAATTTGAAAAGTAATGATACTATGGAATCCGAAAGAGGAAACTGTAAATCGGAAAAGCAATTACTAATAATTGGTTCTGATGTGAGTCAATCGCCTCAACACGATTACTCTGTATGTGACCACATTTCTTGGATACAATGAAATCTTTGATTTAATAGGACTCAAGAGAGGATAAGTTGAATAGTTGAGTACACGAAGTCAGCTATCATCGTATCCGCTTGTTTGTATGATGATATTTACTCATTACAGCAATGATATAAGAAAGATTGTCGAATGTCATGCACTATTAATAGCTGCAGGCTAGCATGGCAGCCTGCAGCTATTAATAGTCCAAATCATTGTCGTTTCCAATTAGAATGTGATTTGATTTTTATTCGAATGCTGTTTTGAAGCGTTCACTTCAATATGATATTACCTTCTTTTTGATTAGTTGCGAAAAGTTGAGCATTCGATATCGTGTACTTTAGGAGTTACGGAATGAAGTAAAATGATCTATGCAATGGCAAATGGCAGCGCGGAACTTCATCACTTATTCGTGATTGTTGGTTTGGAATGGACAAAGTTTCGCAAATTTTATCGTCCCCCATAAAATGATACTTGGATACCATACAGCTTCGATACTGCTTTGGGAACAATTCCAATGTGTACATAATAGAATTTTTATGTATTTGATGAGAAGCTGAGGATATTTTCAAAATATTCTTGTCAAATGAGCTCGAGTGCTCGTTCATTCATATGCAAAACAATTCGCATGGGAACAATTAACACAATTGTTCTCGATGAATTTTTATGTGGTGAATCGAACTTCGTCCATCTCAAACCAGCAATCACGAATAACATCAATCAAGAATAATTTCTGATGTGAGTATTGCAAACATCAAATCATTATCGAAGCGTAGAATTTGGTGGAAACTGTCGTTAAGTTTTTAGATAATTCTCTTCGATGCATGGTCGCATTTGCAAAAAAAATTTGCCACTAATTTCGCAAACATACCATCAGAAGACGGAGAGCAATAGGCGCTCTAGAATAGCGATATTGGAATGAAAGAATAGAGGAACTTATTGATAAAGACTGTCTAATTAGACTGTTTAATTAAGGCTGTCCAATTAAGGCGGTCTGTTACTAATTTATTGCCTAATTAAGACTTCCTTGTGATATAAGCTGTCTGTTGAAAGCAGTTGAAAGAATGGAAATGAAACTGATACGGTGATAAGGTAACCGATAACGTTATTCGATATATGAGTTGATATGATAATCAAGAACTCATTCAAGGTGTGTCATAGTGGTATGTGCGGATCGTCTGTTGGGTATACGTCGTCCTCTGTACGTGATAACCGAATGGGAATGGTATCGCTTACCGCTGATTATCGCATCGATTGTGGTTTGTACAGGAGCGATGACTTTCTATCAACACTTTCAGTATGAGTGCTTGGTGAGGTCATATTGTAAGGGCACACAAATTTATTCAAAATGCATCGCAGTCAATAACGATGGGTCAGTTCTTAATACTTTGTACAAGAAGGCATCCCATAAGTTTAGACTGTTCATTCGATGAATTTATCCTGAAGTTCATCTGCCGGAAAGGATAGATTATCTTGAGGAACAAATCTATGAGTTCGATAGTTTTACCAGCAAAATCAACAAAGCGATGGAGGTTTTTGAAAAATGTCGCAACGAATGGATCACATTATTGCACTCGGTCAAAATGCATTACAGCAAAGAGTCAGCATAAGAAGGTTGTGAATATGATGCAGACTCGGATCATTCCCAGTTCAGATTTAATGCAAATTCAGCTTGCATTCGAAATTTTAGCTGCAAATATAATAAATTCACGATATTTCATGTTCAAAAAAGTCCTCTTACCCCATGTTCATAATCTGGTCAATAAGGATCGAAATTCTTTGCAATACGGGCTCAATACGGTCGAAATTCTTCAAAGACGAATTCTGATAGGCTCTCATGAAAGACATCGATCGATTCCGTAGCATGATTGTGGATTGTGGAGCACGATTTCCTCAGAAATGAAATGAATTAAGTTTGGGATTGAATGAACAGAGTGAATCAAAAAAAATCGATTTCTGTGATTTCAGCAGGTGGTTCGGCAATCGGACGAATCCTTTTCCTGAGTCTTATCGCAAATTCATCAACATCAGCGTTACGGTGAATGCCATCTCGATGGTTCTTTTGCCGATATTTCTGCTCACACTGCTGAATCTAATGCTGCTATTAGTGCTGCGTAATCGCAGTAACGATCTTCTCATGACCAAGAATGGTCACAGTCCACTGAAGCAAAAAACGTTCGTGTTATTGATTCGTTTCGTGATTACCTTTATCTTCATTCGCTTTGTCGTTGATCTTTAACAAGTGTTCGTCATATCATATGTTGTTATCATTGAATCATTACTCAGTTTATTTATCTTATCAATGTCGCTAGCAATATCATTAGTTCCACATCAATGCCAATCAACGCTTATCAATGTAGATTTCAATCGACCATATCAACTTCAAATTACTAAAAATAATCAAACTAAACTTCTCCTCTAGAACGCTGTTGTTTTTGTTCAGATGGTTACTTTTACTGTAATCTTCCGAGCCGATCAAAATATGTTTTGTCATACGTTTTTGAGAGCACATCATCCTAAAATCCTATGGAATACTTACAGCAGTTTAACTTTAATTTTAACTTTCAGTTCAATAACCTCTTGAGTTTTATGTATGCAAGCAAAACCTTGAACTGAATAATCCTCATAGTGCAATAAATGAATTACACAATTGCTTTTGCAGGAGTCAATCACAACAATCACATAGAAAAAGGTCGGTTCACGTTAGCGCTCGTCGATTTTCATCGTTAATTTTCATGTCTCATTTGCAAGAGTTGTTCACTTAAATACATTGTTTGCAGTATTTAACTGCTTATTGTCAAACTGACAATGAGGAAAAAATTGAGAAAATCATGACATTTTTTTGAAAATAAAATGTTCACTGGCAGTATCGCTCGTGAACGGTTGATTTTATTCAACGAGTGCAGGCAGCTTCTTCACGCGAAAGTGGCTTTGTATTAATATGGCTGTTGAATTGTTCAGCTCAACCAGGGACAGTCAGTATCAACTGCAAAAAACTGAACACCGGGTAACGTTGACTGTGGCGTTGATTGTCACAATGTTCACGATTACCAATGGACCGTCAGCTGTCGTTCACCTCATTCAAATCGCACATCCTCAACTACGTTTGTATAGTATGACTCTACTTTGCAAGTAAGTTTCCATCGACTTCGTATTCCAATTTCTTAGAGCAGTGTTTCTCACAGGTGGTGAAATTACCCATTTTGGGTAATTTGGAGGTGTTGATGAGTAATGGAGGGGATCGGGAAATTAGTGTTTCGCGCAGTTGTCATTTTATGACAGAACGCCATTGTGATGGTGTTTTTTAACTTGGACATGTAAATGCGGTTAGTTTCCTGGCTTTTCCGGGCCTGACAAGGGTTTCATTCATTTTAACAGAGTTTTCATTCTTTTCCTTGCTGCTGTAATCACTCTCATAGCTTTTATCACCAAAAGTGTTCTCTTGTGCTAATTTCTCATTCACTTTACTCAACAATTAAAGTCAAATTCTCATTCTATCAAATACACTCTATAACTGATCAGTGAACTGTCGAACTTTGTTGATCAATTGTATTCGATCGCTGTATTGTTGGTTTCGGCTGTTAACACTCGTCAACGCATCCAGTAAATAGTAAATACTATAGAATAAGAAATCGATTCGAACTGTGAAGTGAAATGAGACAAAGTGAATGATAAAAACTCATCAAGAGAACGATATTCGCATGAAATAGCTATGAGAGTGAATACAACACGTCTGAAAAGAATGAGAATCCATCTGAATCAGTTTGAAGTGAACGTGTCAC